GTTGATGGTAAGGGAATTACGTTACTCAATTCATGTTTATGAATATGAATGCAGTCATTTCACATAATGCGTTTGTTTTATGCCTTTCCGAAACTTTTGTTTTTAGCACATCGTGGAAATAGTTATTGTCCTAAACATCTTTGTTTTCAAGGAACCATGATAGTCCCACGTTAATCACACTTTGTCTCAAACGCAAAAAGAGGTTGTGTGATACAAATAAAAACATAACTCAGCGCAACTGTTCATTAATTCAATTCCTTTGGTCACGCACATATGAATTATATAAAATTAAATAAAAATATTCAAATAAATGCAAGATAAATGCGATAGATTCAAAAAAGGGAAAAAAAAAACTTTATAGTAACAATAATTGGGGTTCTGTAAATTATTATACAGCCAATGAAATAGGTACACTTTTCAGACATTAAAACTTGTGTACAGCTAAGCAATGATCTTAAGTATAAATGATGATTTAATTCTTTCTTATGGACTACTTCTAGTGCTGATCAATAATAGCAACTAAGTCAAACCGATTAAAGCTAAAGAAATTTGACTAAAATATTTGGGTAAATAAAAAAGGTGTTTTACATAAAGTGTTAATGCATCTAAACTAGTTCAAGTTTTATCTTTATAATGCAATTCTACTTTTTATAATATTTTCTTCAAATTTCTTTTTAAAAAAGTACACACGAACTAGTTGAATTTTTATTACCAAGAAATTAAATCAGTTTAACTATTTGCATTAGAAATGCTTTTCTCTCATATTTTTGAAGTGCAAGTTTAGTGTCTAAAGACAGTAAATGATTATCATCTTTTTAAACGTGAAATCAATCAAATCCAAACGGTCTTTTTGTTTTGTTTTGCTTAATACGAGCCTTTAATTTGTTCTCTACTTGAATAAATTATCTTAATGCAAAGCATAAGTGATATATACCCTGCAAAACTGCGTTTCTTTTGTTTCAAGAGTTTTCCACATAAAAAACAACTTACTGAAAATTTACCAATTTTTATTGTATGATAAATTGATTAATTTTATAATAATTACCCAAAAAAATCATATTTAACATAATTGGTAATTAGTTGATGGAAAAAAATGCTTAGGAAATAAATGAACTCTTGGTATATAAGTCAATGAACTTGTTATGCAGTGGTAGGTAAAAGTTCATTATCTAAGAGAAGATATCAAAAACATTTTATAAACATTCACTTTGCTTAAAATCAAATGGTGAGGTAGTGAGGAAACACAAAGTAAACCCTACAAAAATATCTTGAGAAGTTTTAAAAGGAAGAGTGTTTATAAATTATTATTATTACTTCACTTCAACTTGTAAATAAAATGAAACATGAGTTATCATATCAGAAGCATATTCGTAGATATTATCAGAACGTACATATATTATTTAGTGTTGTTTAAACCATGACAGAAGATACTAGTGTAGACCAAAAGTAAAACTAGAAGATATTGGTGTAATACCCAAAACATGTAGAAGAAATTCACACGCATGGAAAGACATGATTGGTGATGTATGCTAATGATGCTAGGACGTTAGAGGAGGTTGTCTAGCAGAGACGATGGAAGAGTATGTGGTTTGCACGAGATGAAATGGATGGATGTGAAATGGCATGATTCTTTTCCCTTTTGGAAAAGGAAAGAGATGGATCATGCATCAGCCTCATGTGACACCTCTCCACACTACAAACATGCTTTGCAAAGTTGGCTGGTAGCCATTTGCAATGGCAGGCCATGCCTCCATCATTTCCTCTCTAACTTGGTTTCAAACCGTGGGTCACCCCCACAACCTTAGCTTCAATCAAAACCATATATTGCTTTGGCCCATTTTGATCGTTTCCACAACACACACACACACACACCACTTATGATAACTAATCAACCATCACTGCCACCTTCATGCCTATCCGTTTAGCTATTAATTCCTGCACCATTTTCAGTTCAAATCATTCTAAATCATTCAGTTTTTCATGCTTCTCCTCTTCGTACATCGTTTTTCTTAGATATATATATATATATATATATATATATATATATCTACTAACCCACTAAAGATAAAGATATTTTTCACTAATATGTACTCACAGTTTGAGTTAGCAACCTTCACATGCATCTCGTGTTCAAGCTATTAAAGCTTTGACTAATTTATCTAACTCGAACAAAATGAATTGTATTATGAGGCAGAACACTCATTAGTTGCTGATTATTAGGAGACAAAAGCAAAGATGAACAAAAAAGAGGTTATATGATTGCACTAGGGTGGAAACCTATTCTGTGGGTGCTCAGTTTCGTTGGAGGGTGAAATATATTGTCGTTTTTAACCTGATAAAACTCACGATTTTACGTTTTCAAGGTGAATTTTACTTGGGACGGGTCAATAACTAAATTATTTGATAATAAATAACCAGTAAAGTATCTTGTATTACTTAAGTTGTGTGCAAGAAGGAACATGCAGCATAATTATATTCTCTGAAATAATGTTTCTATCTCTTGGATAAATCTATTACGTGCCACTTGCCACACATCACCGAACTATTTAGTTGTGTATAGGGTTTTGATTTGATCCTATATTGCTATGGTCCAAGTAGTTTTGTGGAAATAGGAGACAATATTTATAGTGTAGATATACTAGTCACCAACTCCTATTGGGCTACTAAAAGTTAAGCAATTTAGTTTTCTCTAAGAACATCAAGTTATAGGGTGGAATAAATAAATGAATTATTAAGAGAAATTTATTCTTTAAACAGATTTATTATTCATGTTAATTTTTCATTCGTCAAGGGTGTTGTTTGTTAAGGGTGAATCGGAAAATACTGATACACAGACTTCGCTGAGTTTTAAAATTACACAAATATTTGATGAATGTTTCAACAAGAGGGTGGGTTAGTAAAAGCTGAAGAAAACATACGCAGGGGAAGTTTGTAATGTTCACAAGGCAAGAAAGTGAAATCTAGAATACATATAGTATCTCTGCTCTTTTTTGAAACTGCTCCAATGGCAAGTTCAAAGGTGAGTTCTGGTCCAAAATGGTTGTTTTTCAAAGTTTAATTAATCATTTCGTTTCTATAGTTGTACTAACTGTTTGTTTTAATCTCTACATTTAGAAATTCTGCACTTTACTTCTTTTCTGAAGAATGTTTTAGTCTTTTATGTTTTCATTTTGTGGTAGCTTTAATTACATCATCAGAAAACTAACAAAAGAACAAAACATTGAAAAAGCGCATATGCAGGAGGAACTAGAATGTAAAATTTTGAACTGAAAGTTTAAGAGCCTAACAGGGTATAAGAACAAAATGATAAATATATTCTCATAACAGTACACACTTTTCATATAAGAGAGAAGTTGAGACAACAACAAAAACTACAATTTTCTCAGCAACCAACCTTCTCTCCTTTTAAAGAAAAGGTCAAAAAGAAAGAAAATTAAACAAAAAAAATGGTTAGATGAAAGAAAAGAGAGTGAAGGGAGTGGAATGGTTTGTGAATAGAAGAAGGTTTGGTTTGCATAGCAGTGGCGTTGGGAAAGCATGGCTTTAAAATTTTCCTGGGGATTGGCGTAGCTTTTCTTTTTGTATTATCAACAAACACTTTTGTTGAAAGGCTGAAATGTGAGGGTCACTACAACCGTGTTCATAGGGACAGGTACCCTTCTTTATAGAGCCATCCCAAGGGTAGTAGGACCACTGCACGTTCCTTCACACCCTCACTCAGATATGCCAAATATCACCCGCCACTTTAATGGAAAATATCATTTTTCACCATCTTTAGAAACCAGTGTTACCTTCTTCTTCTTCTTCTCATATTTCACGCCTTGTACATGTTCATGTTAACCACATAATTGAACTCCAATAAGGTTTCAGTTTTGTGTCTTGTGAATGAAAAGAAAAATTGATTAAAAAGAGAGATTCTATTAAAAATTACTAGTCAAATTTTTCGATAGAAATTATTCATTAAATTTAATAGATATTGACAAATATTTTACATCAATATTTCAATTATTAAAAAGAAAAATTACAATTACTTTCATGCAATGTAACTTTTTTCTCTCACCCGTGTGCTGCTTTGTGGATGAACTAACAAAATATACTTAAACTCATTGCTATATCCTCACATTTTTCATTTTCTTATAAAGTTCATACTCTTTAATAATTACGCCTGGTGATTTAGTTTATATATTGTCCAAAATCACGTTTGCGATAAAAGAAAAAAAAAATCCCAACATAAATTATGTTATGTTACAACAAGCGTAGGAAAATCAAGTTTGAAAAAATTTGTTTTAACTCAAATTTCAAACCCGAACATTAATTTTGTTTTGAAGTAGTGGTAACATTCTTGATAGACTTGTTAATAACACAGGAAATTTCAACACAAACTCTAACAAAACATCTTGGATTATTACACATTACCGTAAATATCTGATTATTTGTATTGATGGTCTTTCAAGTTACTACCATAAATTCTTATATCTATTGAACACTACCATTTCCTTGGACATCTTTATCTACTTTCAACAAAGAACTATAGCACACAACAAAGGTCACTCGCACCTGCAGCTCCAAATTTCTCTTACTCCATATTCAAAATAGGCAAATACACAGTTGCAACCAATCAAAAGTTTTTATGTGAAATCTTGTTAATTTTAATCGACATGGAAAGGTAAACGTTATTATAAATAATTTGGGGGTGGTCATAAATATAGTAAAAATACAGCATATCCAATCAAGAAAGCTTTTCAGCATTATCTGAAAGGATTTTTAGGAATGATTGAAATTTCAACTTTTGAAGCCAAAACTCAAAAATTCCCACACCTACTGCAAACTAAGGAGACTGAAAAATTAATGCCTCATTGCATTTGTAAAAAGGGGGAAAAAATAAAGCATAAATCATCCATTTCACAATGAAAACTGCCACTTTTCTTCTATATCTACTTTCAGTCAGTCCCTTGTACACATAGGGGTTAAATATAACTTTCTTTTTTCTGTTAACCCTTTCAGAAATTGGTTGTCCAATTGATGTGGCCCAATTGGGGCTGCTGATATGCACCAACCTGTGCTCCTGGAGCAGCTGCAGCCACCCCAACTCCAACATTGCTGCCAATAGTTGGTGCTCCTAAATGGTGAGGACTAGCAATGGCAGCTGGCTGTGGAGGAGTGTGGTACATGCCAGGGAACTGCATGTGAGAAGACTGAGCTGCAGCTGCATTGAAGGAAGCATGACCAGTATGTGAAGGCATGTAAGCTGCATGAGGTGTTTGCCCTGGCAAGTTATAGTATGGAGCAGATTGCATTCCAGGAAGATCCCTTGGATTTTGTAACCAAATTTCTGATGTCTCAGCCTGTGAACGAGGGAGAGAAATATGAAATTAAATCTTAGTTTTGCAATAGAAAGCAACAAATGATGTGATAGGTGAGTGATATACTATGCAGAATTTATTTGACATGCGAATTAAGCATTACTAATCTTCTCCTAATATTCTATATTCTACTTTCAATTAGATTAACATTCAATGTGGACTACAAAATTCCTTGCAACTTATACTATTCAAAAAAACTATGCACATAATTAGGTCAGAATGAGACAGCTCCCAAGACATTAACTAGGAAATATTAACAACCCCATTTCTGAATAATGATGTTATAGGTCTTGCTAGGATAAACTTTTCTATTAACACTACAAAATCACATTACCGGAGAATTTGGGACATAAAGATTATCCTTGTACTTGACTCGAGATGAATCTTCTAAAGCTGTTGCACCACCAACCACACTGGGAGTTATCATGGCATACCCAGTTGGACTAGCAAAATTTCCAAACCCTGTAGGATTTCCAGCAGGCACAGGCTTGAACTGTTGAACTCCATATTTGAGGTTGTTGGCATTGAGATGGGAACCACCTCCAGGCATTAACAGGTAACTGTTGCCATTGGTTGGGTGAGGGTAGGGAGGATTACTCGAATATCCAGGCATTGCCATAGGTGGAACATAAACCGGGGACAGAAACTGACGATATGGCATAAGATTAGCAAAGTGAGAAACATGAACTTGTGGATACATCTGCGGCACAGGAGGTTGCTGTTGTTGTACCATGGCAATTGTGGAAGCAGGAGTATTATTGGTTGCATGGGAGATCAAAGCCTGCATTCACCAAACATTGTCAATGGGAGATCAAGAAACTGCGAATTCGTGAATTTATTAAAGGTGAAAAACACAAAAAAATACAATGCCGATTAATCTTGCATTTTAAAATACAATGCCAATTTATATCCCTCCACAAAAACTAAAGCAGAAACGTAAAGAAAGTGTTTCAAATGGTCTTTTATAAATGAAACAATAAATAGAAAAAGGTTTCCAAGAACATCAAAAGCTTTCTCAATCAAATTAAAATACTATATTCAAAGTCAAACTGAGTCAACTATTTTTACAGGGATATATATTTTAATAAAAAACATCCTACTCACTATTAAAACACATTGGATCAAGGGAGAAAATTGTCCTTGAATGCATAAACTAAACTACAATCAAGCAATTAAAATACGTTAATATTCTATTAGCATATAAATTTAGTATACCTCCTGAGGAGATGACAAACTCTGCCCTCGTACAGTTTCATCAATTGTAGGTCTGAAATAAGGAATATCATACCCAGTTGGAGGATCATACGCCTGTTTGGAAATTTAAAAGTGAGAATTACAATACTAAGGCACCAAACAAGTACGCATTTTATTTATATAAACACCAAGTAACACTTTAACAAAGATTGATATACATAACTTCATCATTTTTTATAAGACTTAATTTCACACATACAAATATTCTACAAGTTTACGGTAGCTGATACAAGTATTTGACATAATGCTGGGCGCACAAACAGCATCATTTGCTGAAGATTTCGAAATTGTCACATTCTGCCAACAGAAAAGAGAGACGTCCGTTCTTTTAAATGTCAATTCAGTCAAATGTCCAAAAGAGTACAGCAAGTACAACAAATATGGGATTCGCATTAAGGATTTAGCTTTTGGTTCTGTACAAGTGAATGAAACAGATTGTTTTCTTAGATTATCTTTTTCCAGATTATAAATCACTGGCAACAAATAGATTTCTAGTCCCTCCTAATAAGTAACATGTCAAATATAGTTGCAGAAAACAGACAGAATGGGTAAAAACCCCAGCCTAATAACAAATCTGATTTTTATCTCAACAATATTTTCTCTGCATGCTAGTCCATCAGTTTCCAGCAAGTTTTCTGGTCCATCTTCAGCGAATCCAAACACATGTCTCTCTGTTCAGTATATAGACATTATGTAGCATAAATATATTTAGGGTCCAAAAAGCAGCCATCCTACTATCTAATATGTATGGCATCTTTTGGAGTTGGCTACTCCAAACCACCATCCACTAATTACTGCTACAGAACGAACTGCCACATTTAATCCATGTTGGACCTGATCTAACCCTTTATGGTTAGAACCAGTGCCTGAATATTGAATATTTTTAGTTTTAATGGTGGGCAGATCCTGCACAACATATAATGATCAATGGCAAAAGCCAATAAAATCATACAGGCACAATTCCTGACCAGAGAGGTTTTGTTATGCAGCACCTGATTGCCAGAGTCTCACTACCATGGCATACACAACTATAGGCCACTGATAACTTTGCATAGATCACAAGGAAAGGTTCAACAACATATAGACTATGATGGTAGAGTTGAAAGGAATTACTGACCGCAAAGCCTGGCATATCATGAGAATCTTGCTGCTGAGATTCTGAAGGTGCATAGGGTGGACTGCTTTCACGAACCAACCCAATGTTGGCATAATTGTCCAGATTCTGAGTGTTTGAAGAGTCTTTGTTATCGGGCAATTGTTGCTCAGAAGCAGCACCAGATACTGGAGAGTCAGACCCAGAATTTCTAATGTGTTCATCCCTTAAGTCCACCTGTTTGCTCCCAGAAACATCATCAGGGGACAACTCTGGAGCAGTTACTGTCAAGCTGCCATCAAATATTGAACAACATTACATCTTGTTTACAGGAAAAGCATACTAACTATCATGTACTTATTAAGTGTGTGAACATAACATTGAAAATACGTCCGAAAATATTTCTAAACCATACTAAAATATCACAGCCAAAATAACATCAAACTACAAAGAAATTAAAATAAGTCTGAAATGTGCAGTATCACACCCAATGCCCAAATATTAACTCTCCAACTCAAAATTAAAAAATAAAATAAAATAAAAGACAAGAATGCGAACCTTGCAGCCAATTCCTCATTTAATTTTTCAGAGGCTCCTGTTATGTGATACTTAGGTTGAAGCCTTGAAGAATCAAGTTCAGTCCCAATGGTACCAAAGGTAAGCCGACGGCGATCAGTCTCTGGAACTCGAATATGCTGTGCTATAATCACATTTTGGTTCTCATATATATTTACTTCTGAAAGTTTATCTTGAAGCTCTGCTGCATCTGATTCTATATCTCTCGAATTTTCTGCTGGAGGTGAAGCAGAAGCAGAAGCCTTTTTTGGGGTTCCAATTACTCCAGGATTATTACTGTTTGACTTCTGGCTAGATTTAGGCTTCCATTCTTTATTTTGTTGGGAAACTGCATCATTCAAAATTCATTAAATTTCAAGGCAAGAATAAAAATAGAAAATAATAAAAAAGAAATATACACAAAAATCATCTCATCAATAATGTGGGTAAGGACATGGACAGTTCAATCATAATCACTTCAATCAAACAAAAGTGCAAGGAAAAGAGAGGGTATATTATTGATACATTTTAATGAGGAGGTTTTAACGAAACATGTAAAAAAACATTAAACAAACGCAAAACAAATTCTCCCACTCAATTGTATTGGATTGCTGTCATTATGACTGAATTAAATTCTTGATTTACCCTAGCCCAAGAGCAGCACACGATAAACATTCTACTATTGAAAATTTAGATTAAAATCATAATTGGTAGAGCCATTTCAAGGATATACCTCTTTGATGTCCCACAAGTTGTTGATGTGGTCTATTATTATACTGGTTGTTCACAGACGGTCTGCTAACTGGCACACCAGATAATGAAGGTTCAGTTACATTAGTTTGACTAAATTGTTCAGTCTTTGAGAAAGCGGCAACTGATTGAAAAGAATCTGCAGATGTACCATCTTTTCCCACAACATAAGAGCTACTAGGAGCAAATGATTGTTTTACTTTGTGGTCTGAAGACTGTCTCCGAACACCAACAACCCCAACTTCACGCCTAATTGCTCCAACCACACCTGATGATCTAGAATCAGGAGAGGGCACATGAACTGGATCAGTTGAAGAGGAATACACCCCAACAGCAGAACTGCTTGATGCCACTGTTGCAGGATTTTGATGGATGTTGTTAGGCTTAATTGGTTGCACCCGTCCTGCTGCATTTGAATTGTTGCCTTGCTTATCCTTATCCTTGTCCTCAGATGCAATTTTTCTATCAATGGTATTTGGAAGAGCATCTTTCAGGTATCTAGCATGCGAATCAGAAGGACCATTCAGTGCTTGGGATGAATTCCTAGCGCCAGAGGACCTATGACTGATGGAAGCTGATGTGCTGCAACAAAGATAAAAGCATGTATATATAAAATTCAATTATCCGACAACAACGTGAATAAACCCAAACAGTGATCCTTGACAAATACTTCTTTCAAATTATAAAAGAATAAAATACATCTTTCAAATTTGACTTCGAAGGTCAATTGCATTAGTTCAGAATGCAATTGGAGGCATCACTGGACTTCCATTCCTTATAATATCTGATCCCCATATGGAATGGAAATACTCCATTTCCTGTTTTATGGTGAAAACAGAGCAACACTCTTTTTTAATGTAGTATAATAATAATAATTAAATACTCATTATTTAAAGTCTTTCTGTAGTAAGACGTGTTTTTTGGTCCCTCTCACCTCAGCAAAGTTAAAAACTCTCAGTGCCTCTAGGGCAACCTTTCACCTTTGACTACCTTGGACAGATATACAATAATAAATTTTGATTTACATATCATCTTCCGAAGATTGGTTTACTAGTTCTCATCATTTGCTTCCTTTTTAACCATTCTGTTAAAGATAAACTCTTAACTTTCTATCTGTGTCGACATACCTTGCATACATCAGACCTTAGGCATGCATCAGTTAAGTAAAGTTCTATTAAAATTGTTTACACAGCTCAGGTATGCATTTTTTTTATAACGTCTCACACAGAAGAAACTCTTAATAATAGAACATAACTCAAATTTGTTGGGCTAGAAAGCAAGGGCTATGTATAGTGACACCTACTGACACGCTGTCTAGACAAAGTGGCAAAGGGAAATCAACCAATCCTTCTAATCCATATAAACTAAAATTTAGAGCGTACCCCTTTTCAGATGTGTTTACATTTAACTGCTCACTGGCAGATGTTGAGTGCTGCGGTGAAAGAGGCTTTACTTCTTTGTATATATGATTTACTCTGTTGTCTCTTACAACACGGAACTCTCTGCTGATGCCTGAATATTAAGAATGAACTTGAAGATCAGTTCAAATAGTAATGCTAACAACTACCAGCAGGAAAAGATAAGTGACTTTAGCAACATGTAAAACATATGCAAAACAGGCGATCCATTTGGCTATTTGAATGCACATACAAATGAAGGTTTGAAATAGAAAAGCACAACTACTGCAAAAATAATGAAAGACGATCATATAATTAATAATAATATTAATAGCAAATCTAGAAATTCAAATAACAACCAAATCATAGCCAAACACCTCCAAGTTCAAGTTCAAGACTTAAAATAATGACAACATAATACAAATGTCCGAAATTTCTAATCATTTGACTCTTCCTCAATCTCAACATAAGTATCTTCAATGTTATCCAACAGGACGTCTGGTCGACCAAGGTGGGTAGTGCCGCTGTCAAAGGACAAAATCAGGTACTGTGGTGGGACAAACCAGGTGATGGAGTCCGTGGCCCAACTTGCATGTGGCAACAATGACACAATGAGGTGCAGTCAACAACAAAATAGGTAGGGTTGCAGCATGATGAAGTGACAAGCATGGAGGACTTCTATTTTTTGTTTGGGTTTGGGTTGGTTTGTGGGCTGTATGACCCAACCCTTTTTAAAAAAAAGGGTCAATTGAGCTTGTCAAGTAAAACCCAGAAAGAAAAAAAAAAATAAACTATAGTATTACATGTGCCTCGGGCAGGCCTACAGCACCATACCACAACAACCCTTTACAGAAAATCCAATTCGCCACCACCTTGTTGTGGCAGCCGACAACAAAACCACAACCTCATATTTGATAACACACACATAAATAAGGAAAAGCAGCATAAAAAGCATGGCAACAAAAGAAAACAAATATCATTAACTATTTATTATTAAATTTGGGATCTCCCCACAGCTATGTTCTACCATAATAGAAATAAAAGTTATTGAACAATTTTTTTGGGAGTGAAAAACAAATGATTATTCTGAACAAGATTTCAATCAGTACATCACAGTTTTAACCCTCAAACAGTCATATTACCATGTAAAGTACTACGAGAATAGTTTGTTCTTCGAAAATTGTGTTCAGAAGGGGTGTGAAATTTCATTCCTTGACCACTATTATTCTCAGATGGCCTTTGTGAGTCAGCTGAACCATTGTTTCCAACATTTTGAGTCTGCAATAACCGATACATGTATGGATAAGCAAACCACTACTCTTTAACATGTAAGTACTATTTAATAAGTCATCAAAATAGAATACAAGAAGTTGCACCTCTTTCTTTCTGTCTCTCCTTCTCTTCACCTCATGAAATGGATCTGTATAATAAAACCATAGAGAACTTAGGAGATTTTCTGCTTAAATTTCTTTCAAATTGATACTTAATTTGGGACATGGTCAAACTCCAAGTAGAGTTGGACAAGCAAACTGACGTAAGAAAACATGCATCAATCATCACATATATGGTTAGAAACAATATGATCCAGAGACATATCTTAATTTAGACAGCCTAATTGCAATGCCTATCAATGGGCACTCATATTCATGAGTCAACTATTTAAGCACATCAATGAAACACGTTAAATTTAAAATATTTACATCAAACAAAATCCAGGACTCAAGACAAATTAAAGTTGAATATTCTTCTCCCAAACCACTCAGACACCAAACAACCCCATTTGACATTTTGACTCACGTTGGTAGTTATCAATATCAAGATAAGGCTAAGACTGAAAACGATGCATAGCAGGATGGCCTGTATTTTTAAATGGTTTTTTGAATCTTATGGCATGGTAGCACAGGTAAAACCATGTTTAGTACAGAATAATGGCCCAAAATTTTCACTTTGATAATGAAGTCAAGAATTTGTTAGTAATGATCAGCCAAAACAATGTCGAGAGTGCCACAAACTAAAAACTACCAGTTCCAGCATCCAGCCTAAGTAAACAAAATTAAAAAAACTATGAATAAATGCAATCATCCATGGTTTTAAACAAAGTTACTGAACCACAATTCAACCACAACTTTATTGTTTGATTTGTCCCTAGTTTTCCACAATGTCAAGGATAATTGTAATTTAAGACATTGAAATCATGCAGCAACAGCAGAGAATACACAATCAAATAAAGCTCCAGTGCCACCACCAAAGCTCAACCTCGTATACCAAAAATCAAGCAACAAAATTTATTCCAAACTCTTATCATCCACATTCTCATAAATGCAAATTAAACACCGAAATGCAGCCCACACATGAACTACACAAACACCCCAACCCCATGAAACATTCCCCACCAATCAAAAAAACATCACAGAGAGGGTAAAAAATGAGAGCCAAAACCAGAAACCCCCATCAATCAAAAACCAAAAGAACAAAGCAACACAATTCATAAACTACAATAGAGAAGCAAGATTGAAGAACAGAACAAAAAAAATTAAAACATGGCCCCACCAAGGCACCCACCAACCTTGGTTGAGCAATTTCTGAGTGGTTTCGTTAGGATCCATGTTGGTTTCCTTGAGGGCGACATAGATATCAGCATCTGAATGATTCCCCACGATTTCCTTGATGGATTGAATGGTTTTGCGCACCCTGGCAGACAGCAAGTGGGTACCAGTGCCACCCTCAGTTTTGGAACCAGGGACCATTTCACCCTAAACCCAACAGGAACCCAACCCAGAGGAGAAAACACAACCACAACTGAGGAAAAAATAAAACTTGAGGCTAACACTGCCCAGAACAAGAGATGGGTAGGGTTTTTGTTCTTCTCAATCGGGACAGAAAGAGAAAGAGAGAGGAAGAACAGGAAGAGAAAAGGAAGCGGCTTAGAGAGACAGAGTGAGGGTTTTGAAAACGTTTGACAATGACTTTAGTTTTATGGGAAAAAAAGAAAAAGCTTTATACATTTAAATTCCAAATTGCTTCACTTCATATGTCGTGTTTGTGCCCTAGTGCTGTTCTCCACTAAAATACGGTTGTGCCCTTTGCTTCAACCAAAAGTTCTGAATCATCTCGTAACAATTCACCGATAATGCGAATATTAACACGTGCTTATTCATCATTATCATTATCATTATCATTATCATTATCCATTTCATTTCACCATTCAAAACTTTGTAAGAGTAAGACATATCAATTAATTTCTAAAATTATTAGTATTCATTAGTTTTATTTTGAAATTATAAAATATCATCTTAATTGAAGAAACTATTTAATGAATTAGATATTAACAAATAATGCTATTACTTAATTATCTTCCATATTCACAAATAATTATTAACTTATAATTTTTTCACTCTCTTATGTTTCATATGTCAATCTAAATGGAAAAAAGTAACAAAAATATATTTGTGCTTGTTTAAAAATCACATTATTTTTTTATAGTTAATATATTTTATTAAAGTGTTGCTTTGACAAGTTATTATTATTATTATTTATTATGTTTATTGCATGAGATAAATTTTTTTTTATATAATTAATGTTTTTAATAAATAAATTATATGGTGACTAAAATTCCTAATAAAACATTAGTTTTATATACAAATCATATTTAAACTTATAATATATAATTTGAATAATTTATTAATAATATTGTTATCGATCAATATATTAAAAATTATTTAATAAATAATATTTATTTTATTATCATTATATATATTTGAGATTTCATTTTTAAAAATTATGACTACAAATAATATTTTATCATGTATACATAATACATCATTTATTATAAAATAAAATTGTCATATTACAATTTAAACTTTCAATTTATCATAAAAAAATATAGAATATAAATTTTACAAAATTATTAAATTTAAATATCTTAGAAATTTATTATAATTGTATTAATAGATTTTTAATATTATATATATATATATATATTCTAAATTTGTAAAAATTATAATATAAAAGTTTAAAAGTTTGTTATTATGTTATAAGTATGTTATATTTAGGTATAATTATGGATTGTAAATTAAATTAGATAATATTTACATAAATGCTTTTTTTTGCAAATATGATATATAATATAATTGATATAAAAATACTTTAGTCAATATAATTTGTATTTTAATATTAAATTATATTGCATGTGATATATTAATATAATTTTATAATTCAATTATAAATAGTTGTTGATATTTCTTTCCTTTGAAGATTCATTCATTTGACAAGCAGTTGTGGGTAATTGTAATCATATGAGATGGTGAAGTAATGTATAATAATTTTGTAAATCAGATATTTTTTATTTTGTTTTATTTTATTTTTATCGGGTCCAAAACTATTTTATAATTCTATTAAAAATTAGTTTTGGGTGACAAAATTAGTTAAGAGGTACAAAGAGGAATGACAAAGTGTTGGGTTTAGGAGTAGTAAGGCTTAAGCCCAAAATGTTTGGGGTCAAAGAACATGGGCTTTGTTACAAAACCAGAAGACCAAATTGTCGCCCCCTCTTACAAATTGTAATCGACTTTGTTTTGGTTTTTGGTTTTTGGTGTCCCATATAGGTTCTTCCTTAGCCGCTGCTTCCACCGTCCTCTCCCTTGAGTTTCAGCATAAACTACTGATCTATCTCCCTATCACCCTCTTTTACACAGTAAGTTTCTCAATTTTTTTTATATATCATATTTTTGTGATTCAATGATACCTTATTTGAAGCCTTGTCTTCTGCTTTCTTAGGTTCTTCATTTTTCAATGCTTATTTCAGTTAAAATTTATTTCTTTTTTAATTTTTCATGGAGTATGCTCGTGGGTGTATTGTATTTTCCTTCAAATGATCTGCTTTATGTTTTTTTTTTTAGTACGTTCTCTGTTCTGCGGTGTTGAATTAGGTACTTCCTTTGCTGATCTTTTATTCTTTGTGCTGAATGTTCTTAGCAATATGTTCTAAAGATTATAGTCATATTTGTGTCTTTGTTTAATCTATAAATTTAAAGTGAGTTTTGGATTCTTACAAGAACAGCGTGCGTTTTGTCATTTTTTCTAGTTTGCAAATAATCCCTTTTTTTTTTTTATCATGACTTTTCCCATTGAAAGCTTTCCTTTAATCCTTACCCTCATCCATGCTTGTCTGAACAGGAGAATCCTATTTTCGTTACATCAATATGTTTAGTTCATCAGGCATGGCGGAGGAAACTGGTATGTTCAAGGTTCATCAAACAATTGGCAGTGTTTTGTGTTGCAAGTGTGGAATTCCTATGCAGCCAAATGCTGCTAATATGTGTGTGAAGTGTTTGTGTTCGGAAGTTGATATAACAGAAGGGTTACTGAAGCGGCTAGTGCTGGTACATTGTCCTGAGTGTGAGAGCTACTTGCAGCCACCAAGAAGTTGGGTCAAGCTACAGCTAGAATCAAAAGAGCTGCTGACATTTTGTTTGAAGAAATTGCATAAGAATTTGAATTCAAGTAAAGCGAGGTTGATACATGCCGAGTTTATTTGGACTGAACCCCATTCAAGGAGGATAAAAGTCAAGGTCAAGGTTCAGAAGGAGGTTATCAACGGAGCAATTCTTGAACAGTCTTATACTGTGGAGTATGTTCAACAAGAGCATATGTGTGAATCCTGTTCTAGGGTCCAGGCTAATCCTGACCAGTGGGTTGCTGCTGTGCAACTCAGGCAACATGTTTCTCACAGGCGTACTTTCTTTTATTTAGAGCAGCTAATTCTGAAGCACGGAGCTGCTGCTAGTGCTATAAGAATCAAGCAGATGGAACAAGGTATTGACTTCTTTTTCTCCAATAGAAGTCACGGAGTTAAATTTGTGGAGTTTATAGGGAAAGTTGCTCCTGTAAGGAGTCGTAGTGATAAGCAGCTAGTTTCCCATGATCCTAAGAGTAATAACTACAACTACAAATATACATTTTCTGTTGAAATCAGCCCCATTTGTCGTGAGGATATAATCTGTCTGCCTCCAAAAGTTGCTGTTAGTTTGGGAAATATTGGTCCTATTGTGATTTGCACCAAGGTTACCAACAGCATTGCTCTGCTTGATCCATTTACCCTGAGGCACTGTTTCTTAGATGCTGATCAGTACTGGAGAACATCCTTCAAGTCGTTACTTACTAGCCGACAGTTGGTGGAATATATAGTGCTGGATGTGGAGGTTGTTTCGTCTGAGGTTACTATTGGTGGCACAAAATATCATTTAGCAGATGCTCAAGTTGCTCGTGTGTCAGATTTTGGTAAGAACGACACAATATTTAGTATCAGGACTCATCTGGGCCATCTTTTAAATCCTGGTGATTATGCTCTTGGTTATGATCTATACGGGGCTAATAGTAATGACATGGAGTTGGACAAGTACAAAGGGCACATTCCTGAAGCAATTTTAATAAAGAAAAGTTATGAAGAGAAACGCCAAAAGAAACGTGGGAAGCCTCGTTCATGGAAGCTTAAATCACTTGAAATGGAGGTTGATGATAGGAGAGTTGATCAAGACAAAATGGTCTCAGAATATGAACAGTTCTTGAAAGATCTGGAAGAAAACCCTGACATGAGGTTCAACATATCATTATACCGAAACAAGGAGTACCAGCCATCAGAGATGGCATCGGTGACTGATGGTGATGAGCTACCCTCTGTTCCCTTGGATGAATTGTTGGCTGATCTTGATCTGAGTGAAGCTGAAGATGAAGAGGATAACATGACAGAATGAACAAAAGCTTCTTCTATTCTGATATAGTACTTTATGGAATCTTGGTTTTGTTCTTGACAAGTTTTTTTTCTTTTTTTTTCTTTTTTCCTTCTCCATTTATGTATGTTATGTTAATTTGCAATCAGTGATGGCTTGGTTATTGAAAGAATGATAAGATGGTAATTTTGCAGACAGTAGTAACAGTACTTACAAATAGCTTACGATAACGTTCTTTTACTATTTTTGGTGTTGAATATGTTCCACTGTTCTCCAACCATTGAGTTTTTGGTGGCGTGGCCATGACCATAGACGGTGTAATTGCCAGATGAGGACAGAAGCTAAGATCTTATCATGATTTATTTTTTCAAACCAGCTTGAGTGAAATGTCTTGCCTTTTTTTTTTTAAGTTTTCCAGGATTTTTAAAAATATAATTTCTGAAGTCCCTTTTTATCATTATTTTTTGTCAAAGTATTGATAGCTGTCAAAAGGGGTCTTCCCTGTGTATTTGGGGTAAATTTGCCTAATTATTTTGGTTGGTTTTCGTCTGTCCAATGGAAGCTTGGGTGGTAAATTCAATTCAATTATTTTAATTGTAAGTAATTTGATTTAAAAAAAATGATTTAATTAATATTAATAAATTTAAATACTTTGATTTTATACAATGACAAAGTAAATAACTTGTTTTTGTATCAGACAGTCTTAAAAACTAAAATCTGCTTATATGATTGAAATAAACATTTTTAAAGCATAAACAAATTCACTTAACATTAGGTTAGATCTCATACTAAAAGAATAATAAGATCATTTGTATATAATAATAGGTTGCATATGCTAGTGAACTAACTTGCATTTTCAAATATGAAAAGAGAGAGGAAAATATATACGTAGAATGACATGCATAATAAGTTCTTCCAGCTACATATACCACCAAGAAACTTGGGTCAATCCAACTATGACAAGAGAATGAACAGATCTAGGATTATTCTTTTAAAGATTGGAACTTAGTTATCACCTTATCAATCTTCCTGAATTCCTTTAAAATAGTCATAATGTGTTTTGGCACTCAAAACATTAATGTTTTAAAGATTGGAACTTAGTTATCACCTTATCAATCTTCCTGAATTCCTTTAAAATAGTCATAATGTGTTTTGGCACTCAAAACATTAATGGCAGAAGGAACAACAACTGTCTTGGACATGCTCCTCTATATAAACTTGTGTTGGCCCTTAACCTTACATTTTCTTAAGCTTAAGAAATTTGTAGATATTATTTAGATATAGTTTAATATTGTTAAGATATTATTTAGATATTGCTTAGATATTACTTAGATATAATTTAATATTGTTAAGATATTGGTAGATATTGTTAACCACAATATCAAAGAATATATCTTCTGTTTATTCTGTTTACTTTTGGTTACTCTTTTAGTTGTACTTCTTTATTATAAATAAATTACCCTAGTGTGATTTATACATAAGGGGAGATTAATTTAAAACCATATTTCCTCTATATTCAACATGATATCTAGAGCTTAAGGTTATCTTGAATTATTTTTTTGCCTTTTGTCCACTACTGGAGCCACCCCACCACTGCTAGAGTCGTGCCCCACCGCTGCTAGAGCCGCCCCACCATTGCTGGTAAACTGATCCTCCACATCAGAAAATAATTATCTTTGTTACTGAATTTTATTTGGTAGTGTGAAAGTGCATGTCTAGGAAAATTCTGGCAAGGAAAGACTTGGTATTTAAGTGTGTTCATTAGTGACCCACATCTCTTTCCTGGGAACTTACCTAGTGTACTGGTTCACGTTGCTGTCACCATTGCCGCTGGAGCAGTTACCGGATCTACCGCTGCCGGAGAATTCGCCGGAGTTTCATTTTTTGACCAGTGACATATGATTTTGCTTGTCTCGGTCAGGTGACCACCGTGTCGTTGAGATCACCACTATCGGAGTTGGGGAAAAGGATGTCTTAAGTGTGAACATTGTGGCAAACTAGGTCACAAGATTAACAAGTGTTATACATTATATGGTCGTCCTCCTCGATCTGCTGCAGTTGTTCATACCAATCTTTCTCCACCTTTATCTGCTGGGGATCCTCTTTCTTCCGTTGCATCCGACATGTCTGTTATGTTCAACAAATTTCTCGAATGGTATAAGGACCAACAATTTTCTAGTTCCACTATATCTGTCACAAATACAAATACATATTTTACTGGTCTGACCCAATCATTTTCTCCTGGTCCTTGGGTTTTTGATTCAGGAGCCACTGATCATATTACTGGTAACAAATCTTTGTTCTCCTCTTTATCCTCTTCCTAATCATTTACCTTCTGTTACACTGTCTGATGACTCTAGAGTATCATCTCATGGTGTTGGAACGGTTAAACTTTTTCCTTCTTTAACCATTGATAATGTTCTTTATGTCCCTGGGTCTCCTTTTAACCTGTTGTCCATCAGTCGTCTAACTCGTTCTCTTGATTGTGTTGTTACTTTTACCAACAATTCTGTGTGTTTATAGGATCGGAGTTCGAAACAGGTGATTGACACAGGATGTGAGTCTCATGGTCTTTATTATCTCTGCCCCTCTACACATGTTAGTACAGTTATGAAGTCTCCCTCTCTTCTTCATGCTCAGTTAGGTCATTCAAGTCTTGCCAAGTTACAAAAGTTTGTCCCTGTCTTGTCCAACTTATCTAGTTTGGCGTTTGAGTCATGTCAATTAGGCAAGCATAGTCGTACTTCCTTTCCTCGTAGTTTCACACGTGGTGTTTCGTCCCCTTTTGTCGTGGTTCATTCTGACATTTGGGGACCTAGCCGCGTTAAGTCTACTTTAGGTTTTCAATACTTTGTTACTTTCATTTATGATTATTCCAGATGCACTTGGTTATTTTTGATGAAAAATCGTTCTGAATTATTATATATCTTTCAAACTTTTTTTAATAAAATTCAAACTTAGTTCGGTGTTTCTATTAGAGTTTTGCGTAGTGATAATGACCGTGAATATCTTTCTCATTCTTTTAAACAATTCATAGCTTCTCACGATATTTTGCATCAAATTTCTTGTGCTTATACACCTCAACAAAATGGTGTAGCTGAACGTAAAAATAGGCATCTTATTGAAACAACTCGCACACTTTTAATTCATGGAGATGTTCCTCAACATTTTTGGGGTGATGCTCTTCTTACTGCATGTTATCTCATTAATCGCATGCCTTCTTCGGTTTTGGATAATAAAATACCTCATTCTATTTTATTCCCTCATGAACCACTTCATCATTTACCTCTGAGAGTTTTCGGGTCTACATGTTTTGTTCATAATTTCAGTTCTGGTCTTGACAAACTTTCTCCTAGATCACATAAATGTGTTTTTTTAGGGTTTCCAAGATCACAAAAAGGATACAAATGTTTTTCTCCTTCTCTTAACCATTATTTTGTGTCTGTCGATGTCATCTTTGATGAGTTGTCTCTTTATTTTAAAAGTCAATCTTCACCTCTGTCTCCATTCAATCTTGTCAACACTCCTAGTACCTTTAATGTTCTTGTTGTTTGTGACTCTCTAACTGTGTCTTCTTCACCATTAGTTTCTACTCCGCAATCAGCTTCTTCTCCACTGTCTCTTCAGATTTATAATTGTCAAAACCAATCACAACCACCACCATGTGACTCCACTCAAGTGTCAACTACTCTGTTTCCTCCGGATCTGACACATGAGTCTGACCTTCCTATTGCCCTCCGAAAAGGTATTCGTTCTACACGTAATCCCTCTCCCCATTATATTGCTTTGAGTTATCATCGATTGTCATTACCTTTTTATACATGTCTTTCCTCTATTCCTTCTGTGACCATTACAAAAACTGTCTATGAAGTTTTAGCCCATCTTGGTTGGCGTCAGACCATGTTAGAGGAACTAAGTTCTCTTCATAATAGTGGAACTTGGGAATTGGTCCCGTTACCGTCTGGAAAATCTGTTGTTGGTTGCAGGTGGGTGTTTGCTATCAAAGTTGGACCTGATGGTACTATTGATCGCCTCAAATCTCGTCTTGTGGCCAAAAATTATACTCAAATTTTTGGGTTGGATTATGGAGATACCTTTTCTCCTGTGGCAAAGATGGCTTCTGTTCGTTTATTTATCGCCATGACCGCTCTTCAACAATGGTCTCTTTATCAACTGGATGTTAAAAATGTTTTCTTCAATGGTGATTTGCAAGAAGAAATATATATGGAGCAACCTCCTGGGTTTGTTGCTCAGGGAGAGTCTTCTAGGATGATATGTCGTCTTCGCAAATCCCTATATGGCCTAAAACAGTCTCCTAAGGCTTGGTTTGAAAAGTTTAGCAAGGTTTGTTCAACAATTTGGTATGACTCGGTGTGAAGCAGATCATTCTGTCTTTTATCGACACTCGAGTGCTGGATGTGTTTACTTGATAGTATATGTTGATGACATCGTTCTTACAGGTAGTGACAACCATGACATCTCTCAGTTGAAACAACATCTCTGTCACCATTTTCAGACCAAAGATCTTGGCAAACTTAGATATTTCTTGGGTATTGAGGTGACACATTCCAATGATGGTATTGTTATATCTCAGAGGAAGTATGTCATAAATATTTTGGAGGAAACTGGGTTGATGAGTTCAAAGTCTGTTGATACACCCATGGATCCCAATACTAAACTTCTACCAAATCAGGGGAAGCCTATATCTAATCCTGAGCAGTATAGAAGATTGGTTGAAAAATTAAATTATCTTACAGTTACTCGTCCCGACATTTCCTTTGCAGTCAGTGTGGTAAGTCAATTTCTTAATTCACCATCTGAAGATTATTGGAATGCAGTTATTCGTATCTTGAAGTATATTAAAGGATCTCCTGGAAAAGGATTGTTATATGGTTCTAATAACCATACAAGAATTGTTTGCTACTCAAATGCTGATTGGGCAGGATCTCCTTCGGATAGAAGATTTACATCTCGATATTGTGTCTCCATTGGTGGTAACTTGATTTCATGGAAAAGTAAGAAACAAAGTGTTATGGCAAGATCCAGTGCAGAAGCAGAATATAGAGTTATGACCTCAGCTGCCTGTGAACTTGTTTGGCTTAAACAATTGCTTAGAGAGTTACAATTTGGAGATATCACTCAAATGACACTTGTGTGTGACAATCAGGCTGCTCTTCATATTAGTTCTAATCCTGTCTTTCATGAGAGAACCAAACACATTGAAATTGACTGTCATTTCATTAGAGAAAAGATTATATCTGGAGATATCAAGACTGAGTTTGTTAACTTAAGTGATCAGTTAGCAGATATTTTCACTAAATTTTTACGGGGCCTAGAATTGATTATATTTGTAACAAGTTTAGCACATATTATTTTTATGCTCCAGCTTGAGGAAGAGTGTTAGATATTATTTAGATATTGCTTAGATATAGTTTAATATTATTAAGATATTGTTAGATACTGTTAACCATAATATCAAATAATATCTTCTGTTTATTCTATTTACTTTCGATTACTATTTTAGTTATACCTCTCTATTATAAATAAATTACCCTCTGTATGATTTATAGGGAGATTAATTTCAAACCATATTTCTTCTATATTCAACAGAAACCATGTAATTCTGTTACCTTATACTTTGTTTCTAACTTTCCAGTGATTCGTTTAGTGCAGAGTTTTCAACCTACATCATCGTATTTTTGTTGCTTTAACCATTTTGACAGAACCAAACTTGTTTTCTCACTTGGAATAGTTCAAAATTCATACAAGATGGAAACATATGACTGACATTGTCAGGGACAAGTTTTAACTAAGACTAAAATATCACTATCACAGTTTAATATTTCCCAACATCTGCATTTCTCCACAGCTAAAGTGAACTACAAAGTTGAAAGTTGCCGTTACATGGCCTGGAACGAGGTAACTGATCTAGAATGCACAACACTGTTGTAAAGCTTTCAAGCTGTACTGTGTTAGCCTGCTGAAGCAGTTGGCTGTATAAAGGCTCTTCTTCTATAGTCACAGTCACAAGTATTGTTCTTGTATCCTAGCACGGTTCTCTTCCCACCACAATCTCGCATGCATTTCTCCAAACCTTTCTCGGCTGTGTAAAAGAATGAAGAAAGATTTTTTTTTTAATTAAATGAATGTGATTATTCATGACAAAATCAAACTTGATGAATAAACAATCCTGCTGTTAAGACTTGAAGAGTCAGGCATCAAAAGGGAAAAGTCAAAAACTTTGTTCAGAAGTAGCTAATAAAACTTTAGGAGTCAGGCATCCCTAACCAGCTTCATTTTTTATTCCTCCATTACGGTTAAAAGCAAATAAAAGTAGATCATAGAATCAAATCACTGAATGTAAACTAAATTACCAAAATAAAAACAGTCATGCTCATGCATCATCATTGTAAATTTTTTACACTGTCAAAAAAATAAAAGTCATTTTTAGTATCGCTTTCAAGAGTTATTGTAAAAGTGAACAAAATAATCACACATAATGATTTGTAATGGAAGACATTGGAAAAACGTTGAATGGACTATTTATTCTAAAAAATGACAAAAGTCAAGGAGCATGAGCAAGTTTTCAGCTTTTCACACAATACAACCTGTTTAGATAATTAGCAACTAAGTAGAAAAAAGCTGTTGCATTAAAAGTAATTTGGTTTCCACACTAATGATTTCTGCTTACCTGAACCGAACACGCCTGAGTTCTCTGGTTCCACCTGGCAGTGCTCTGATAGTGATGTAGACTCCTGGTTCATCCTGTTCAACCCATTCAGTTTCCATATCACTGGCATTGCTGATTGAAAAATCGCCTGAGTGATCTTCTCCAGATGAGCTGGTCCTTACAGAACCATCAAGGGATGATTTTTCAGTCTTAGGTGCACTAATGTTGGAAAGATTAGGTGTTGATGCCAGACCACTTGTTTCATAGCAAGGTTGAGGTTGCATTTGGTGGTGATCCAGTGAATCAGATGAGGAGTAGCCTATTCCCATTGGGTGGTGAAAATGGCGGGGTGCACGCTCTTTGCTGAGCGGAGGAGTGACAGGACTGTCCCTAGCAGATTCAATCTTTGAGCTCTGAAAAAGAAAAAGTCATGTAAATACCAACTAAAATATATAGCAAAATCACTAAAACAGAAGATTCTTAATGAACTTATCATGTAAATGCAAAAGATAACAACCTACGACCCTAGTTAACTGATAGGTTACACATAAAGTGGGAAAGCTTATCCTTACACGCTTCTTGCTCATTCAAGAACCAGGCTTTTAACTCAAATATCTCAAGATCTCAAATATGAATTACAAGGAATTTATGATTGATTGTTGAGGATAACATGTAAGCTGAATGTGTTTTTGGTTAAAGATTGAATCATGCAATCCTTAACAAATTGCAAAGAAGTTGTATGTTCACCTCATCTTCAGATCTAGGTGGGGTTGGAAGAGGAACTGCTTGTTGATTGAACCTTTGAACATTGTACAACTCCATGACCTTGTCATAATTCTCTGCCCACCACCTCTGAGCTTGCCATTTATTAAACATTTCACGACTGATAACAAATATCAAATAAATTAATTAGTACAATTATCATAGGGCTTAGAAAAAGAAATGTCACATCCGACACTAGTATATTTCCCTTGGTTGAAAATTTCTCAAGCTTCCAGCTCTTGACTCTTGAGTGATTTAATATTCATGATCTTCTGGATTGTTTCCAATTCAACTCTGACTACTGAGACTGCTTAAGAGAAGCCTGTACTCTCTCATGAAAGAGAGATGAGCCTAAGGTTGAGTCTAATAACCCAAAGGACACTTACCCCAACAAAAAAGGACTTTTTATTATCTAAGGTAAACTAATGAAACTATTCAATTCATATTCATAAAACTATTTATGTTTGAATAGACCCTTCTAATATCCCTTTTAGTAATTGTATTTAAGTACTTTGTGTTTTATTCAGAACAGGAGAGGGTGACAAATTTGCTTGTATTTCATAAAATGAATATCACTCTAGCAGTGGCCTTTTTCTTTGCACAAATTCCTTTATTTTCTTTTCTTTTTTTCTTTTTCCTTTTTCTTTTCGTGGGCTGAGAGGAGGGGAGGGAGTGGATTTGAATGACCAGGCTAGAAGATAAAAATCCTTTTTGCTTTTGTCCCGGCCTACCATACCACACCAGCCAAGCATGAGTTACTGACAATGGAACAAAGCTGAGGTCCTCCAAAGAGGCACAATAGCAACAAGATAGATCCTGCCAATCTAGAATCTGGACAGCCTTTGAAAAGCATGTGATCACTCCCAAACAAAATGTACTTAGCTTGACAGATCAAAGAATAAGAAAGAGTTTAAACTACAAGAAAGGACAAAGTCACATTGGCTAAAAAGCGAGTAACCTCTACCACATGACAAAGGCATGTGCTTACACTCCGAAATGTGCAATCTCCAAACACACACAAGATGGGTAGTAGTACTAGTACCTGAACCGTATCCTTTTGAGATCATTCCCTCCCTGAGGCAATGAAACAAAAGTAATAAGCACACCAGGCTCCACTTGGGCAATCCACTCCTTAGGCTCATCCTCCTCCATGAACACCACTGACTCAGTGCGTCCACTCACTGATGCTGGTGTTCCTTCGCCGCTGGAGAGCCCTTTCACCCTACCACCTTCCGTTTCCTTCCCCCACATCCTTGGGGTTGAATTGGAACTCCCAGTTCTGCGGTAAGCCCAGTTGAACCTTGCTGAATCTGACCCCATATCTGAGTCTGCATACTTCCTATTCCTGTTACCGTTGGAAGATCCTGAACAAGGTCTGCAGCTCTTATAGGCCCCAGAAGCCTTCACTGCCATGTCCTTGATCTGAAAAACAAAACCACCCCTCTGTCACCATAGTTCCCACTTAAGTAAAAACAAGTCAAACAGACAAACAAAATTGAATCCTTTTAGTTAGTTCTCTTGGTATTACTATTACGCTATTAGCAACCAAATGTGAAGAAATGCATAATTGAAGAGGTGGGTTCTAACTGTTTTAAGATTTGGTAATGACACAAATCGAGTGTACAAGGAAAATAGTCAATTTACCTGTGCAGTGAGAGCCTTGATGGCTTGCTTGGTGCTAGGCGTGTGAACAGCTTCTTCCTCTTCTTCTTGGCAAAGAGATCCATTATTGAGTTGCTTGGTACACGCTATGCAAGTCAACATTTCTCAATGACAAAAGATAACCAAGTGAGGTCACACTACCAAGTACCAACCGAAGCTATCAATCAGAAGAAAGGATGACGCTTTGCAGCAATCATACAAATTTAAGATCTGGGGTCAACTTGATCCACTCCCCAAAACTGAAAAACCAAAAGCTTCATTGAATGTGCTGCTCTCTGAACAATCACCAACCAAGTCAAGCAGAGAAAGTGAGAGAATGGAGACCAAAATCACAACATTCAACTTTCAACAGAGAGAGAGAGAGGGAGCTAGAAATTGAAGGTTAGCTATAGAGATGAAAAGGGACATGTTTCAAGGCGATTTATGAGATCAAGACTCATTTAAAATCATTTCTTTTTTCATTTTTTTATATCGAAGTTAAGAGTGAATTTGATTCTCTCTCTGTCTCCAAGTCAGAGGAGAGACTAACATAAGACACACAACACACACATCAAAAACAAAGAGTGCAAGTTAAGAGAATGAGTACCCAACACCCTTGCTTCCTTTTCAGAGTCTCTGAAGCGCCATTGAGATTTGAGCTCCCTATGTATGTAGCTCTACAACGTGTGAGACTGTGAGGTTTGGGCTTAGAGACTTATGTGTCCCTCTATGTATGATATAACGTATGATAGTGCACATATATATAGAGAGAGATCATGAAAAGTGTGTGTGCATGCGCCACCCTATTCTTTCCGATGAGAGAAAAAGGTGAAAATGGGAGTGTTGTGTTGTGCTGTGTTGCGGCGTGAAGTTCCCAGCTTGTGTGTGTTTTGTCTAGATCACCTTAAAATGGGGGACATTGTGCAAATGCACTCTTGCCACTTTAATATTAACATGCCCCACCTAATAAAAATCGCATATTTATGTTATTACTCTCTACAAAGTTGTCTCAATTTTTTTATTTTTTTTTCCTTTTGTCAAATATGCATATTATTTTTTCATAATGAGTTGCATCATGCTGTGTAACAACAAAACAGCAGTATCAAGCTTCATAATTGGGTAAATATTTGTTTACATAAAGTTAATTGATTTTATTAAAGATAATAATGTAATAATAGCAAAAAGCATTATAAAAAATAATCAGTTTTAACTCAAAATAAATTATTATTTATTTGACTTTAAAATAATAGCATATTTATAATAGTAATAGTTAGTATAATTTGAAATGAAATGTGATTTAATTTGAATTTAAGTTTGATGATAAAAATCAATCTCATTTTGAATGTGAAAGTTGCTGCACAAAGAGGAAAAAAATAAAACAAAATAAATGAGTTAATTGACAAAGTGAAAAGAATGAGATCCTCTAGAGTGAGTTTTCAAATTTATAATATGAACCAATTATACTAAATTAAACTAGGCATTTATGGTTTAATTTATCATTGTCTTATGTGCACCTCTCATTTTTATTAATTATATAATATTTTTTTAATGATATTTTACCATGGTATGTTTTATCACCATTTCACCTCATCAAATTCTTTCATATTTTTTTGGAAAACATACTATCCTCCTTCTTTCTTTCTTTTTATTTTTTCTTTTTCCTCTTGTTTTTATTAGGTCTTTTAAGGAAAATTTATTGAAAAAAAATACTCATACATGAATTCAATCCAGATTGACATCGTTCTAAAAAAAACCTTAAAACATTATATTATGAGTCATATTTTTTTTATATATTGCTTGATTTCCTCAATTTTACTTAATTTAGACTTAACTTATTCTTAGATTCCATTTTTAATATTTGTACTTTGTTCTCTTCAATTATACTGCCTTTTGTTTCTATTAAAAGTTTGTAAGTCAAAATTTTATTTTTTTTTCAAATTTGTATGCATTCTAAAAAAATAGAATTACTTTTACCCTTCTAGTAAAAAAAAACTTTTGTTTTAAAAATATAACTTTTGAACACACATTCAACTATGTTCCAAAATAGAAGGAACTCTAATAAGGATTCTTTTCATATAAGCATGTGTGACAACAATTTTACAGTTTGGAATGATATGAACATTATGCAAACATGCTTGAATTTTGGTGTGACGAGCCATTATGTTTATAAAAGCTTGAATATGAGTATTCAAATGTGGCATGTGTGAAAGATGATGACATGTTTTGCATGAAGACATGTTGTAGTTATTTAGGTTCCTCTCACTTGAAATTCCTCAGAATAACTAACATAAAGAGGTTAACATCATTGCACTTTTAAGGACATGTTTTGTGCTCAACCATCTCTCAGAATAAGAGTTTTTCCATAAAATATTATATTCATGAACATGAATTTTGTATAATTAAAGACTTATCTTTTTCTTCTCATTTCTCATTCTAAACAAAGTGTAAAGTGCATGACTAAATTAAGCAAATGAAATTGGAGTATCTCTCACAGTAACAGTGCCATTACTTGAATATGAGATGACTTTGACTGTGCTCTAAGTGGCATATGACAGACTGGAATACAACATTACTTTGACTGCACCCTCAGTGGCACATGACAGACTGGAATTATCTTATTATGATCGACACCAACATCTTGGTGCACCATAGTTTTCCTTTTGCCTTAAAATGATGAGATGGTGTGAACCCAATTGGCACAGACCAAACCAACAACATTGAGCACCAAGGACTCCCAGGTTTGGAGGATTGTGTCATGAAGGGAACATAATTGGCTCTACAATACTCAAACATATACTCCCACTGTGTTGGACAGATAATGTTTCAGTAGTTCCCACGACACTCAGCATTACAATGTCAAACATTTCATTTCTGTGACCACTTTCATCAGCATTATTTATTTTCTTTCACTAATCTCTACCATGTCATCACTAATTTCAATCATTAATAATTTTGTATGAATTACAAATTCCCTCTTTAAAGTTTGTTTCATTTAAGTTTCTTATTACAATAAAAATGATGTTTTTAAATTTATTTTAAACATGATTATTTATGAGTTGAGGTTATTAAAAAAATATAATAATAAATAAACTTAGATATATCGATTTAGATTATTATTATTTGATGATCTATTTTCTGTTTAATGCTAAAAAAATGGAAAATTTAGTTATAAATATACTGTGATAGTTAAGTAAATATAAGAAAAATGAGAATATAGAGTGAATAAATTTTATTTATAAGACTCATATCAAGATATTTTAAACAATAAATTACATATTAGTTATTAAATTTTTAATATAATATTATATGTGATTAGATATATTTACTGTGTATCATTATTAATATTTTTTATTATAAGACAATATTTTTATTACACAAAAATATAAATTATAATTCTAATTGATACGATATTTTAAATATTTCTTTAGTGTAAAGGAATTTTCATTATAACATGTTTCAATAGTTTCAATAGCTAAATCATATTAAAAATAAAACATAAAGTAAGATTTTTAATTTATTAAAATACACAATATTATTATATATTTAATTGTTAAGATTTTAACAAAAATATTTTTATTACGTTTCTTTATTATAAGATAAATTTTTTCAGAATTTTTATTTTAAAGAGATTTTTTTATATATTCCTCATAAATCTCTCGTAATTATTTTTTTAACTCATCAAAAGAAATTTTAAAAACTAAAATATGATAGATCAAAACTTTGAAACGAATAAAAAAAAGATTTTTAATTAATTACTCCCGCTTTAAGTTTATAAATTCCATGATTTGAATATTACTAAAAATTTGCTTTTTATGTATAGAAAGTACAGTTGAAGCAGAGCTTCTCCACGTGGTAGCACGGCCACTCGTGCACATGTTCCATCTTCCTTTCCTCTCATTCAAAGCCATATAAATTTATTTTGTTCATCATTTCTCAAAATAGTAGAATGCATCAAATCATAAAAACATATATTCACAATCAAATATTATAAACGATTCAGCATTACAACACGCAAATTGTATTAGTTTTCTAAAATATGAACTGGCAGAAAAATTATACTAAAAAAATAATTATCTATAAATTTGGTAAGAAAAAAAAACACATTTTTGAAAGGATGTGATGTGATTAATGGGAAGGAAAGAATGATATGAAACATCATAATTTGATTTGGCAGAAAGGAGACAGACACAAGAAACTGCTCTGATTGTGAATTTATGTCATTACAGTGTTCTGCATAAAACATATCAGATTCAAAATCCATAATTGTCTTATTAAGCTATTAATTAGCCTCATATATAGCCGTTTGACTTAAACAATTAAATTAATATTTTTTATTATATATTATAATTTTTTTTCTCTGAATTATTATAGTGATGAAGATGTGAATATTATTTTTGTTTTTGTTTGTTGATGCATGGTGCAGTAGTCAAACCAGAATAACTGGTACTGTGTCTGCCACACTTTTGTCCATTTCTTTCACAGTCCAAACATCTTCAAATTCAAAGATACCAAAAACTTCCTTTTCCATTATTTTCTTTCATCCAATTTCGTTCCATTTCACTGTTTTGACTCGATTCTAGTTCGCACAAATTTGGTAACCCTGTTCGCTCATTCAATGCCCATATAAGTAAGGATTAAGGAACACAATAGTGAATAAAAAGGTTAGCACATGCATCAATTATCATATGTTAATTTGATAATTGAAAATCATATTCTTTATATTTCTATTTGACTTGAACATGCAAGATTCTCATTACAAACAACAATGGAATTAAAAAAAAATGCTATGTCTAAATAAACTATGAACAAAAAAAATTATTTGTTACTTTAAAAATAACTTTTGTTACATATTGATTATTGTTTAATATAACTTATTACATGCATTAAAAGTATAATATGATCATTAATATAATAATGGTTGAGTTACTACTACTCCATTTATTATAATTCTAACAAGAAATAATTTTCTTCTCTCAAACACCATAACATGTGCATGCATTTTACCAAATAAGAAAATGATCAAGTTTACATTGGTAGTTAGGAAACAAGAAATATATATAGTAGTATTATTATCAATATTTTTAAAATCATAGCTCACTAAACCAAGATATGATGAGTTTAAA